CCTTAATGATCTCCGGATTCAGATGGTGATGATTGTGAAACATGGAGCTTGGAACGGGGACATCTAGGCTTTGCAACTAGAATAAGATCCGACTTTTTCTGTCTCACTACTGAAGTATTTTCTGTCATGTCAAGTTCCTCTGGCTTGGTTCCATTTGGAAGCTCCCAATCAAAATGAAACAAAAGTTGAGCGAGAACAATTTCGATCACTGAGTTTGCGTATGATATGCCAGGGCAACCCCTTCGCCCTGCACCAAATGGTATGAGTTCAAAATCTTGGCCTTTGAAATCAATTGTGCTTTTCTCAAATCTCTCTGGTATAAATTGATCTGGATTTTCCCAGATTTTTGCACTTCTTCCTATTCCCCAAGCATTCACCATAACCCTTGTTCCAGCTGGTACATGGTAGCCACCAATTATGCAATCCTCGCGTGAAACTCGGGCTATAATAGGAATCTGGGTATGGAACCTAAAGATTTCCTTAATGATGCATTTGAGGTAGGTCAATTTAGGTAAATCACTCTCTTCGACCATTGGTTTTTCCCCAATTGTGTTTCTGAGTTCTTCTTGAGCTTTCCTCATTATTCTCGGGTTCCTGATGAGCTCCGACATAGCCCAAGTCATTGTAACGTATGATGTTTCAGTTCCCCCACCGATCATATCCTGCCAATACCACAAATACAAGACAGAGAAACAAACATTTAATCCAGTGAAAATAAGATAGAAAGCAGTGAATATTGGCTTTTGGCAGCATGGCTTAGCAGTTAGTAGAGTTGGGTTGGAGAAATACCACCCGAACTACAAAATCAAGCAATCACATGCTACAATCTCCTCCCTTCAAAAAGAAAATAACAAGCAAATGGATGTAGCTATATCAAAATAAAAATAAATGAAAAAATTAAAATAAAATAAAAAAAATAAATTATTAAATAGAAAACAAAACTAGAAACCAAATGGGCTCAAAAAACGTATTCAGAAATACAATTAGAAAACTTGATTTACAGTTGGAGATATTTTAAAAATCCCAAAAAATAGGAAAACAAAAAAATCGGGCATATTTTAAGAAAACCTCACAAATATTTGCGAGAAATACATAAAAGAACTTTATATATCAACTACATATTTTTATTTATTTTTATGAATTTTTTTATTTTTCTTACATACCACAAATTGCATATGGGTACTCGTCCAACCACAAGTTTTTATGAATTTTTTTTATTTTTCTTACATAGCACAAGTTGCATATGGGTACTCGTCTAACCAAAGGGGACAAGTCTGAGTGGACCCAGCCGAGAAAACGTTACAAGATTGAACACTCTAACCTTGGGGTTGTCAAAGGTTAAGTGTTTAGAAATTCAAATTCTTTTTTTTTTTTCCCTATTTTGATAATTCTAATGTGCAACTTAGAATGGAGGATGGGACGAACCAGGAGAAGCGCCTTCAGATGGTGACGGGTGAGAGGGAAATGGAGGTCGCCCCTTTCTTGAATGTCAAGAAGATAGTTCACAAAGTCCTTTATCTTGTCACCATTTTTGCGTTCTTTCAGGTGCTCCTCCACAATCCCGTCAAGAAAAGCGTCGACCCGGCGAAATAAATGTCGTACGCGTGCATGCATTGGGGTGAAGAAGGTGATCCACTGCATCGATGGGAACAAGTCCCCAATACTGTATCCATGAAGCATGTTCGCCACCTTATTCACCATATCTGCGTATCCACCCACGCCATTCTCTCGATACTTTTTTCCGACGACGATTCTGGAAACCACATTGTTGGTGAGACAGAGCACGAAACGGGACAAATTCACCATACCAGTGGTGGTCGCAATATCTTGAATGAGTGTCGCCACTTCCTCCTCTCTTACCTCCCTAAAATCCTGGACCTTCCTATTGCTGAGTAGCTCCATTACACACAACTTCCTTACGTTCCTCCAAAACGTGCCGTAGGGCGACAGACTGAGGTTGTCTCCGCCGTACAGGAGGTACTTGCAATAGCATGGACTCGGTCGATCGAAAAAGACCCGCTCGTTGGTCTGCAATACCTCTCGAGCGATTTCTGGTGAGGAAATCACGACAGTGGGAAGTTGCCCTAACTGCAAGAACATGATGGGCCCATACTTGACCGAGAGGTCTCGGAGCAACTGGTGTAGCAACTTGCCGGGTAGTAGTAGGTGGAGGTTTCCGATCACTGGGAGCCTCCAAGGACCGGGCGGTAGGTTGAGGCGATTGTCTCTCCTCCTCTGATGTACAAACAGAGAGCCAATAATTAAGGTCACCAGAAGGACGGCGTATTCGTACCACCATCCCCAGAGTTGAGCTTTGGCGATGCACAATTTAAGAGCCACTGCATTTAACAAAAAGTAGGCCATTGCACTTTGCATCAACTTGTGCCTCAGACGTATCGTTTACCTTCGTGTTTATAGTTGCTAGGGGTGCGCAAGTGGTCATAAAATATTTTGCAATTATAGTCTTCTTAAATTAACAAACTTACCAGTCTTTTTATATGTGAGTCGGGTGAAAGACTCCATTCCACTAATGAACAATGCAAAGAAAATGTAGCTCCATCTCTCTATCTCTCTTCTTGAATGTTCTTTAAAATACCAAGAGAGCGGAGGAAATTCTGTGTGTGTGTGAACATGACTAGCCAAAATGATCACGTCCATTATTCTTTGTAAAAGACTATGTTTTAACATATATAATGAGTTATTCGGCACCCGGTTACGGCCTTTTTAATGAGTTATTCCACAATGCTTACTGAGATCCGATGAATCCACAGTACCTTAGATTACGAATCCCCCCAAAACCTAGAAAAAATCCTTTTGCTTCTACCTCCAGAAAAATAAAAAAAAGTATCGTTTTTTATTAGTTCCCTTGGCGTAAGTTTTATTTGAATTATGAGAAGAATGAGTTTCAACTGATTACAACTATAGGTTGGTGATGCAATTACATATACAGATGCCTGATGCAAGAGAAACTAGTTCAGATGACATCATAAGATAGAAAATTTCTCACTATGGCTTTCAACAAGGTTTGTCTGCTCGTAGTAGCTTTCAACAAAATTCCTCTCTAAGGTAACGATTCCTTTGTGGCCCTTTTTGCGTGTCTTTTGGGTCGACGTCTACCCTGGCCCGACCGGCCTGGTCTTGAAAAACTAAGCATTGAACATTGGGTAACAAAATGTGATCCTAGGACAGGTCAGGCTAGGCCCGGGTCGCCACAAAGCAAGCCAAGCACGCCCTAAACATAAGCAGGACCCTAGAAAATTTTGTCGGTTGCAACTTCTTTATCTAAAGGAAAATTGTTCAGGCACGCTAGACCACATTTCTGCAATGTGGGGTCTAGAGGTATAAAACATTCATCTTAAAGATAGATGCAAATATGTGATTCATCTTAAAACGATTGGAATTAACAGTCAAAATATTTTTTTAATATAATTATTATTTCTAATAGTCAATTTTTTATTTTTTTTCATGATCTTCATGTTAAATATTATATATTCACTAAAAATTAAAATAAAATTATATTTAAAAAATATACTTATTTCCAATCATGCATTTCTACAATATGCGGGATGGCCGCATAGAAAGTGGGTCCTTGTCTAAATAGAGGGCATTGTTTTTTTATGGAGTCAGGGTTACTTGAGGGCTACGAGGCCGGGCATGTGATGCCTCACCGCAAGTTTAATCTTATTCCGATCAACCGATCAAATACATTAGCTGTAAGACGAACATAGGCAGAAAATGAATGGGTTTTACTGATTATCGCTTATTACGTCTAGTGCTGTTAATACATAAATAAATAGACAACAATAAAAAATTAAAATAAGGAAGAAGAAAATACAATTACCTCCTCAACATAGATACTTGGCAAGGCTCAATTAGACACCCGCCATCTTTCGAAATGCAGTCCTCATAAATTTGGTTGGCACTTTTTAATTATTCGGAAAATTCATTACTTTTCTTTGAAAATTGTTATAATATTTTATTTATAAGGTAATTACCCAACTGGGATTACATTATTCGAAATGGTAAGATCTGGTATTTGGAGAATTCATCTTAAGAAGAGGTCCATGTTGATGTCAGTGTTCTTAATCAGGTTTCTTTTAAAAAGATGTTGATCATTTTTTTAATGATTAGCATGAAAGAGTAGCATGATGTGGAATCATCATTAAGGAAAAGGTAAACAATCAGCACTATTTTTTTTTCTAACTACAAGAGTCATCACCATTAGATAACTGTGTGAAACATGGAAAAATTCACACTGTTGCAAATGTTTGGATATGATCTCCCTCTCTCCTTCAATCTCTCGCTGAATAAAATAGTACC